GTGGGTCACATTTTTAATTTTTTAACCTATTAGATATGCAAACTTTTCAAATCTTTCTATTGTGTTATGTAGCCTCAGTATTAGGCCTTTAATGCCCATTGACAAAATTTTTCTATGTCAAATAGTTTTTGAGTTGTGGGGGTTTTTGTTAAAAAAATGAAAAGTGGTCTAAGTTACCCCGCCGGTCTAAGTTACCCCATTTTACGATATCAGTTAAATTTGAAGCGCTGACGCAATACGACTCACCACGTGCCGAATATTGCCACACACAGTGTGGGAATATAAGGATTTGGTAGGTTTGCATTCTAAAGGCTTTTAAATAAATATGGCAACATTTTGATACGTTTCATTGTTGCTGGCGCGTAGTACGGTGTTTTGCGAGTCAATTAAAGCAAACAGAACTTGAGTAACGCATACGGTTATTTTTTTAGTTTTTCATTTCTCGATGTGTCCTTAATGTGTCGGAATATACCGCGTATACCCTACGGTGTTTTGCGAGTCACAAAAAGCAAACAGAACTGGAGTAACGCATACGGTTATTTTTTTATAGTTTTTCTTTTCTCGATGTGTCGGAATATACCGCGTTTACCCTACCTATTTAAAAGTAGAATAAAATATCAAAATGCGCTAACTAAATTAATGTCTAAATTCTAATTCTTGGCAATTGATATATAAATTTTAAATTTCAAAATAAAACAATTTAGATAATGAAAACAAACAAAACATGAACATAAACAACTAAACAACTTAACAAGAATACCTAGCTATCAAGTTTTAAATTAAACACAATAGCAGAACCATGAAGAGTGAATATAACAACATGCACATTTAAAATGTTACTGCTTCCTTACAGTAAAATTTGCAAACCTTTATAAATAAGAGGATGAGATACATATTGCCGGTTGTGATTTTCTCTTGGTTCAACTCTGAAGCCAATGAAAGAATCTGGATGGTATTTCTGCTTGGCTCCTCTCACTGGAATAACGATCGTAGGAGTGTCGGGAATAAGAATGTGTCGCATTCCTTTGAAATTTAATTTACTTGTCAAACTGAAAAAAGTCCTTTCTAAGAGTGCCATTGTAATAATTAAATGAACAACGGGAATCGCTGTGGTCTGAGAATATAAATTTGTGGTGGGGGAGACATTCACTTTGCGGATTGAAGAATCTTTCCATCCGCATCAACGTCATTCAGAATTTATTGATCTAATTGCCAATTTTTTTCATTTATTATGTTAGAAAAAGCATTTTCCACATGCTTCATTAAGCCTAAATACAGATGCGCTAGCCTTTTACGTGTCCAGTGTCCGAACTATTTGACCTAAATGAACTTCCGTTGTACCGATTTGTGATTAATTGTACTAACCTACTTCGTGAATAAAATCATGAACTTAAACGTCTGCAAGTGCCCTTTTTAAATTCGTGGTTATAGATTCAACAGTTAAGCAACGCTAAACGCGGGCGAAATCACCAAAGTTCACATGGGCTAGACATCACCTTTAGGTGGTCAGGAATCTATATATCAAGTTTCACCGAAATCGGTTCAGTTGCTTGGAAGAAATTCCATGTACGATGCGTATTTTTGCCCGTATTACCGTATAAATCGAGAACGCGGGCGAAATCGCGAAAATTCAGACGGGCTAGACATCATCTTTAGGTGT